TACCAGCTGCCGTAAGACACAAGAAGCTGCTGCTTGCACAGTCCTGCCCTGAGCCTGGAAGGTCCCCCACTTTCCCGGACTGTGTGACGAGACTCCGGGAGGGACCGGCCCGCTGCAGGGCCTCTCATAGCTTTGACTATGCACCCATCAGCTCCCCTGGGGGAAAGCAGGTGCTGTTTGGGCCTGGATCTTGCCCCAAGGAACATTTACAGAACTGCACTGAGGCCAGGCCATTTCCTCTCCAGGGGCCAGGACTGGCAGTCTCCCTTCCCATGCGTCACAAACCTGCCCTCCAGACAAACGTCCCTTCAGGCCCCACCCTCCTCAGACTCATCCCCAACCTGGGGCCCCTCCTACCTGTGGATGATGAAGTTCTGATGCAGGTACTGGAGGCCTCGGAGCACTTGCAGCACAATGCACTTGACCTACTCAAAAAGCAGGACGCATCAGTTAAATGTGCCACAAGGTAGATGGGACAATGCCTCCACTCCAGGCCCTCCAGCCTCACACCTGGGCCTCAGAGAAGGGTGTCGGCATGTTCTCCAGAAGGCTGGCCAGGTCTTGCTCACAATAACCCATCACTAGAAAGATGCTGCAAGAAAAGGGGAAGGCACAGAGCACTTCTCACGTCCTCCCAGGCAGGTCAAAGGGGTTGCAGGAGGGATGAATTTCATTTGTGGGGAGCACAGGGAGGAGACGGGGGAGACAGGCAGGGCAGGTTCGGCAGGGCCCAGTGCAGAGGACCAGCAGACTGCCTACCTTTCCAGGTGGTTCCCCACAACCACTTCCTTCAGCTCCACGATATTCGGATGGCGAAGGCGAAGGAGCAGTGTGATCTCTCGAAGGCTGCTGATGGGGACCCCTGCAGCCAGACAGCCTCCTCAGTGAGCTGCACCCCTACCCCAGCAGGGCTCTGCCCACAACCTCAGAGAGAATCAAGACCACCTGAACATGAACCTTTAACTCTTCCTTCATTCAATCATGTAAGACAGCAACCCTCTGTACTGACCACTCAACAGGACACAGGTCCACACTGAGCACAGCAAGGCCCTGCCAGCACAGGCAGCCAGGAAGGTGCTGGGGGGTAGAAATCAGGGGTGTGTGGAGCACAGGGGCTGCCAGCCTGGTCTTAGGCAGGGAGGGCTGGGTGGAGGGGTGACGGCTGGGCGGAGACAGAAGGTAGGGCCGTCACCACACGGGGGGAGAAGACGAACTGCAGGGGAGCTAAGGCCTGCAGTACGGGGGTGAGGACAAGGGGCTGGGGAAGGACAGGAGAGGCAAGGCCAGCCTACAGCCTCCCAGAAACAGGACCCCTTTAACCCTAATGCAGTGGCTCTCAAAATGAAGCGCTCAGGCCAGAGGAAGCCTCAGAGAACTGGCACCTTTCTGGCCCCTCCCACGTGGGCTCACCATCCTTCTCCTTGTCCATCCGAACCTTCTTCAGGGCAACAATCTCGTCCGTCTGGGTGTCCCGGGCCCGATCTGGAATGAAAACTCACCCATGATGAAATCTTACTTGATCCCACACCACACACCCTTATGCCACACAGGGGCCTCATTGTGATCTCTGGGGGGTGCCCATTCTCTTCTTCTTGATAACCAGATGCCCAGGGGCACGAGGTCCCAACTGCGCAAGCCGCACTGCCAGCCCCAGCACACACATGCTCTCTGGGGAGTCCTCTCCACTGAGCTGGGTACAGCTGGGTTCAGGGTGCTAGTTACAAGGAGCTCCCTCCAAGTTTTCCTCCTTAGAGTCAGGATGTAGGTCACCACTTTGCCTTCTGTCTGCTACGTTCAAGCAGCAAATAAGATACTTTATCTAGGACAAAATGCTTATTTTGTGCAAAGGAGGCTCTTCAAGGCACTCACGTGCGAAGCTTCCTTATCAGTGTGCTGCACACCAACCTCCCGGCCGCTTCACAAAGCCGCCCCAGCTGCTTCTGGAAGCTCTAGGTTCTGCCGTAACAGTTCCCTCCACTTGCAACCACACCGAGAATCGGAAGCTGGCACTGATGATTGTTACACCACGGATCAGAGCTCCCCTGCACAACTTCTACCATGTGATGAGGGTTTACTTGCTTCTAGCCCTAACACTGCTACTGCTGGGACAGACCCCTGCGCCCGAGGACACCCATCTTGGCCACTTACACACAATGCCATAGGTGCCTTCCCCGATGCGATTCAGCTTCTCAAACTCCTTCACACTCCGACACCGTCCCAGCTGAAAGACAGGGGCCGGCAGGGCAGGGCTTGGGCAGCTAAAGGAACAACTGGAGACGGATACTGAACACTTACTCCGTACCGAGGAGCTCAGTCGTGTTTTGCTCACCAAACGAAGTTAGCCACACCCTTGGGTGTTCAGATGAGAAAAGAGGAAAGATGCTACTGGGCCAGCAGACACTTGGTAGGCACTACCACAGACAGCATTTTCCCTTCCAATCCCATGGTCCAGATGTATGCTGTCCACAAACAACAACCACTGGCCACATCTGGCTGGCACGAATTAACGGTAAAATTTCATTTCCTCAGCTGCCATGTGTGTTGTGCTCCTCGGTGCCACATGGCTCATGGTAACCATCCTGGACAAGTCAGAAAGCAACATTTCTTCTTTTTTTTTCTAAGTAGGGTCCACACCCAACGTAGGGCTTTAATTCACAACCCCAAGACCAAGAGTCCACAGAAGAAAACATTTCCACCGTCAGAAAAAACTGAGCAGCACCAGTCTAAATTATGCTCCGGAGATGGACAAAGCTTCTACCAAATGCAGTGGAAACACTTCTGTGGCAGAGACTAACTGACCCCAACACCCACACAGTATTTCTTCCTCTGAGTTAGGGAACAGCCCGGTGGCACGTGGCTACCCAGCCGGTGGCTGTATTTCCCACCATTGTATTTTGCAGCTAGGCAAGTCCATTTCAGTCCACTTTGGCCAACGGGATATGAGCAGAGAGGACAAGGGCTTCAAGGAAGGGACTTCCTGATCAAAGGAAGTTGGCCGCCCACTCCTTTCAATCTCTGAAGCAGGGTGGGATTTGGACCAAATGCAGGTAGATCTACAAGACAGGTAACGAGTGCCTGGCCCTACCTTGTGGAAAATAGCTCCCTCTCCCTGGATGTTAGGGGAGAGAAAAATGAGAGAGAATTTTGAGCCAGCTCCAGGCCCAGCAAAGAGCCCGACATACTCAGGGCACCTGGGGGGCTCCGTCGGTGAAGCATCTGCCTTCAGCTCAGGTCTTGATCCCAGGGTTCTGGGATGGAGCCCTACATCGGGCTTCCTGTTCAGTGCGGAGCCTGCTTCTCCTTCTGCCCCTGCCCCGCCCCTGTTCATGGTCCACCCCCACCCAAATTAAAATCTTAAAAAAAAAAAAGGTTGGACGCTTGACTGAGTCACCAGGCTCCCCTAAAGCCCACACTCGAGCCACTGCTTCTGGGGCTGCACTCCTAGCGGAAGGCTGTACGCTAACACGCCTGCGTGATGAGGGACGCTTGCCGATGTACTGGACGGGCATGTCCCCTTGGCTAGAAGCACATGCAGCAAAGCTCCAATTCTCGCAGCCCCTCTGGCCTTGCTGCCTCTCACCTTCTCCGTCATCAGTCTCCATCTCATTCCGTCCTACCACTCGGGGGACAGGTGGGAACCACCGGCACCGAGCGCTTCCCGAAGGTGGCTTCGGGCTCCTCTCCCCCCCAGTTCTTCCTCACATTCGCTCCCGGGATGACTCCTGGCGCTGCCGAGTCATGACGCTGTTTCTCATCTCTTGGCGCTGCCCCGACATTCCAAGTCGGCACGCCAGGCTTCCCTGTCTCTCCGCACATCAGAACCCTAGTCCCACGGACCAGCCCAGCAGAACGTCCTGCAAGCTGCCCCCAAGGTGAACACAATTCTTTCTCTGAAATCCTGCTATTTCCGCGGCCAGAAGCACCACGCGGGGGTGCTCCTCTGGGTGTCTGGACTCCCATCACGCCCCGCGGTCCTGGGAATGCAGCGGGCACCTGCTGCGTGTCGGGGGATGCACTATGGCCCGAGGACCGCCACCGAGCGTTCGTGACCCTGACCGGCCTCTCAGAGCGCCGGGTACGGCCCGGCCCAGCCCCCAGAGCTCCAACGACGACTCCATACCCCCAAGCTTCACTTTCCCCACCCTGTAACGGCCGCTGACCGGACCACACGACGGGGCCGTATGCAGAGGCCTCGCGCAGAGCAAGAAACGAACGGAAGCTGCCGGCTCTCAGGCGGGGCGCGGCCCGGCCCATTCACAGCGCACCAGGAGAGCAGGCGGCCAAGTCGACCCCCGACCCCCGACCAAACCCCCCAGAGCCCAGAGCCCGCTCTTCACAGGCAGCTGGCCACGGGAGAGCCCCGGGGTCTGCCCCCAGACCCGGCCCTCGGCCCCAGAGCCCCTCAGCCCCCAAGTCCCGCAGCCCCAGAGCCCCTCAGCCCCCCAGCTTTGGAGCCCCGGATTCCCTCAGCCTCTCAACCCGGAGCCCCTCAGCCCCGGAGTCCCTCAATCCCGGAGCCCTCAGCCTTGGAGCCCCAGAGCCCCATCAGCCCCGCCGCCGGCTTCTGCGCCGTCAGCCAGGAGCTCTGGGACTGTCGTTCCCGCCCGCGTCGGAAACCTCAACGCTTTAGTGCGACACTCAGGAGCCCCAGGGAGTTCCAGGCCCGCCCTGCCGCCGGCAGAGCTCCCCGAGCGGCCCCCCGACGCACCCTGTGTTCCGGAGGCACCGTGAAGAAGCCCTCCTTACGGATACACTTCAGACGGATCTGCTCCGACTCGGACTCCGCGTCCCCCATGCCGAGCGCCGGCCCCTCCCCACCGCCCTAGTGCGCAGGCGCGGATGGGATTCTTCGGCGCAGGCGTGTGACGGACTTCCGGTGGGCGTTTCCGCCGGGCGACGGCTACCTTCGGAGCCCTCCGAAGACTCCGGAGGACCTCCGTCCTTGCGGTCCGCTGGCGCTCCCGGGGTTCCCGCCTCGTTTCGGTTTTCGGCTCGGGCGCTTGAGGCGACTGGGGTGCTGAGGAACGGCCGCAGGAGGAGGAGGCCGGTGGACGAGGGGCGGGCAGCTCTGGAGCCACGCAGGGTCGGGGAGCCGAGCGCGTCCGAAAGCGGCGGGAGGGGCGACCGGGACTCCGCGCTCCCGGCTGGTGCGGGTGGAGCGGCCGCCGCCTGCGGGGCCCAGTCGGACGCGGGCCTCGCGTCCCCGCCGCAGGCTGGCGGACGAGGTGAGCGATGCTCGAGGCCGGGCGCGGGGAGGGGGCGGGCGAGCCGGGGGCGCAGCGCTAACCGGGGGAAGGAGCTGGGAGAGCAGCTGGGCGTACGTGGTGACTGAGAAATTAATCCTTAGAATCACTGGTTTTAACTTAAATTGCCGAGGTCACTTCATTCCAGCCCTTTTCAGATTCGTTCGTAAGCACAGCTTCTAGCTAACAACGAGAGCAGAGTCCGTGTAGTTCGCACGTTGTCTGCTCGTGATGCTCGGGACGGCGGGAGGAGGGCCGCTCCTAGGGCGGATGGGGGCAGTGCGCTGGCGGCCGCGCTGACCCGGCGGAGTCAGATCTCGTCTGTACGGGCTTCATCTTCCCGCACAGTATTCGGGTGCGAGTCAGAACGGGGAAACGTGTCGCGTAAGTACAAATAGTGGGGCTGAGAATCGGCCGCTGAACACTGCCAAAATGGAATGCGTTATTCCGACTGGAAGTCTGTTCTCATGAATGGCGACAGAAAGACCGAGCGTGCAGCCTGCTGACCGTCCTAGGAACGACGGGAACACACACACACCGTTACCATACTAGAGGCCTCGGACCGGATCCCCCCCAGCCACTCCGGAGGAGAGTGGAGCCTCGGCCATGAGCTGCTGGTGAGGGTGGAAGGCCAGCAGGGGTCCCCGAAAGGCCCCTCACTGGCGGGTGGTAGCCACAACCCCAGGAAGTGGTCAGCTCAACTCCCCTCCTCCCACAGCAGCTCTCACAAGGCCACCGCCGAAGTTCTAAGTGCCATGTCCGACCCCTGCCCCAATTCCACATTCTTCGTCTGGATCGTTTACTACTATGGGTCATCTTAGAGTCAGGGTAGGAGCCCTTGGGCCTCTCCTGGTGACTGCACTTTCCTGTTCTGAGACTTGATGCCTTGAAAGTGAGTCCCCAGAGCCCAGCCTTTTTTCCAAGTACAGGGGACATTTCACTCGCTGTAACTGCTGAGTCCTTGCACCACGCCCTTCAGAAGTGGACAGAAAGGATTTTAATTGCCCAGCAAGAGAGAGAGAGATGCTGCGTGCCGCTGGTTCATCGCCCTGCAGAGCCAGTGACAACAGAGGTCTGCTAATTCACTTATCACCACAAAGTTCGGTCTCTGAGCCAGAGTCCCTCTTGCCTTCTGCCAAGCTGCCAGCAGCTCTGGGGAAGGTAAGACCAAGGTAGTCACTGAGAGGAATCTCGTTTACAGAAGGGGCAACTGCAGCTTCCCACAGGCAGGATGGCCCTTCTGCCATCATGGCTGAGACTCAGAGCACAGTGAGCAATGCCAGCCACTCAGAATGCTTGTTTATTCTCGGAAATGATAGGCATCTACTGTACTGGGGTTTCTGTGTCGGTAGTAGGGGGTCCATTCAACCTGCTCCTTAATGGTTCTCTGCTCGTCGCTTCCGATGGAACTGTAGCTGGTAAGAGTCTCTTTTGAGGCTCTAGTGATGATGATCTGTGGAATGACAGCTTTCTTCTTGCTCGCCTTTACCTTTCCATCAGGGTTCTCTAGAAGGAAGAAAACATCCAGGTATTTAATGTGTCTGTGGAAAAGCACTTCTACAAGGCCTGTGTTAGGGCCAAAGCAAGAGAATTTGATGTGTGGTTCAGGAAAAGGAGGGCAAGGTCGAAGGCAGCCCAAACAGTGAATGAGTGTTCCAGAGCTCTAACCAGCTGACACCTCAGGCACGAGGGTAGTGAATACTAGACACCCTCTTTCAGGGACTAGAAGGGAGACACATTTCCACCATCCATTGTGGAGAGACCGAGCTGCCAGCCAGCTTCTGGAACAGACAAAGAAGGAAGGGGACAGAGAGAGAGAAGAAGAAGCAGGGTCTGCCCCAGAGGTGAAGGTTCAGACACAGTTTCCAAAGGATTCTAAATCTGGTTAAAAACAAAACAAAACCAAAAAATCCACCTCTCTGTACAGAACCTTATCAATGAATGTGGAAGAATTAACGTTTCTCCTTTAAAAAAAAAAACCATTTATTTATTTTAGAGAGCAAGTGTGAGCAGAGGGAGAGGGAGGGAATTCTCAAGCAGACTCCCTGCAGAGCACAGAGCCCAGCGTGGGGTCAGTCCCATGACCCTAAGATCACAACCTGAGCTGAAACCAAGCGTCAGATGCTCAGCTGACTTAGCCACCCAGGTGCCCCAAGAATTAACATTTCTGGAATCAGCCACATTTTCTTAAACTTAAGCTTACAAGGATTGCATAGGACTTGTGAAATGCCAAGTTTGTCAAAAGTTACAAAATACCTAAGCAGAAGTGCTTTCACGCCTTCCCTGCTGCATCTCCCAGCCACCCCTCAACAGGGCTCCAGGTTGGAAGCTCAGGCCTCTGTTAAAGCCCGACAGAGAGTGCTCTCTCTGTACAGGTGTGTGCAGGTAGAGTTCAAGTAATCACACTGTCACACAACTGTTCCAAAAATGCTTCCACGCTGATCCTGTTGCTTTTTGTGCCCCACTTAAAATGCCTCGTGAACTCGGCCGCCTGGGGTCCAGTTCTCGGTCAGACATCATGGTGAGCCTAGAATAAGGACTGTGAATACCAAGCCACAACGCTTCCTGAAGTAGGGCCTCTTATGAGCTCTGTTTTACAGATGAAGGAACTGAGCACTGAGAGGTCGTGTCCTCAAGGCAGCTGGTAGAGGGAGATGCCAGGGTGGGAACTCTGTCCGTCTTCATGGCCGCACCCCAGCTTTGATTGTTTTAACTCCCAGTGAATGGCCCATGGCATGTACTAGGCACTGAGAGTGTCCTTTTTATTTTTATAAGTAAGTCAAAACCTGCATTTCATATTTTGCATTTAAATTTGGGGGTTTCATTTTTTTATATTAATTTACACATTCTTTTATATATTAAGACTAAAAAGCAACAAATATTTGATTTAAAAAATAATACACAAGCAAAAATTGCATATGGAAGGATTCTTTTCCTTCCTTCTTTCCTTTCCAGTGAAAAAAGGTGTTCCCTGCACCAAACCTATAAAAACTGTTAACAGTTTTACCCTCTCTGTTTAATTTTTGGATTCATGTAGAATTCAAGTAAAGACTGAGGCAAAAATACTAAGTTGTTTTCTTGGTTGTCGAGTCAGTTGTCCCAGCATCACAGAGTGAACGAAGGTTCTGTCTGCTAGGCCTTTCACGTGGTGCCTTCATCATGAACACAGCTCACACATGAATGTGGGACACGGCATGGCCACCTCTGCTCTTGCTGGAGTGACGTTTTCACGTCAGCCCTTCTCACACCTCCCATTTCCCGGTTTCCTGATGTTTTTACATTTTTATTCTCCTGGGTAAACTTTAGAATAATTTCCTCCAGGTCCCAAAAAGACCTGTGGTCACTGATTCCATAGATTGAGAACTAACATCTTTACATTTTGAGGTTCTCTAGTTCAAAACAAGACTTCTTTAATCTTAGAGGGGTTTTTTGTTTGTTTTTTTAATATTTTATTTATTTATTTGAGAGGCAGAGAGAGACAATGAAAGAAAGAGAGCATGAGAGAAGAGAAGTCAGCGGGAGAAGCAGACATCCTGCTGAGCAGGGAGCCCGATGTGGGACTCGATCCCGGGACTCCAGGATCATGACCCGAGCTGAAGGCAGTCGCTTAACCAACTGAGCCACTCAGGCACCCCTAATCTTAGAATTTTAAGACTTCATTTGGGAACAAGTATTTTTTAAGGGTTCTTGAGATGTATTACCTGTACTAATTTTCAGTTACTGCTTAACAAATCACTGCAAACTTAGTGGCTGCCTTAGAACAGCACATCCATTTATCATTCCAGTTTCTGTTGGTCCAGAGTCCAGCTACAATCCTGCCGTCAGCCAGGCAGCACCCTCGTCTGGACCTGGGGCCTTACCAGCTCATTCAGGTTGCTAGGTAGAAGTCATTTCTTTATGAGTGAAGGACTAAAGTCCCTACTTTGTTGCTGGCTGTTGGCAGGGGGTTGCTCACAACTCTTTTCACAAGACAACTTAAAAAATTGTTTTTAAATTGAAATAATACCCAATCAGGGACCCTGACATGGCACTCAATCCCAGGACCCCAGGATCATGACCTGAGCCAAAGGCAGACACTAAACCGGCTTAACCACTCAGGCACACCCCACTTTTACTTTTTTTTTTTTTTTTTTTTAAGATTTATTTGAGAGGGAGGGAGCAAGGGCGCACCAGTGGGGACAGGGGCAGAGGGAAAGAGAGAGAGTCCTCAGGCAGATTCCCTGTTGAGCACGGAGCCCTACTTGAGGCTCCATCCCAGGACCCTGAGATCACTACCCAAGCTGATATCAAGCATCAGATGCTTAATTGAGCCACCCAGGTACCACTGCACTTTTACCTTTTTTAAAAAGGTTTCTCCCGGGGTGCCTGGGTGGCTCAGTCATTAAGCCTCAGTCATTAAGCCCCACATCAGGCTCCCTGCTCAGCGGGGAGTCTGCTTCTCCCTCTCCCTCTGCTTGTGTTCCCTCTCTCTCTGTGTCCATCCAATAAATAAAAATCTTAAAAGTAAATAAGAAAAAGTAAAAGGCTTCTCCAATTAGGTCCAGCTCACCCCAGATAAACTTCATTTTGATTAAGTCAGAACCAGCGGATCACTAACCACATCACAGGAGTGCCGTCCTGTCTCATTCACAGGCTCTGCCTGAATTCAAGTGGGAGGGGGCCATACAGGGCTTGTTCACTGGGGGTGGGGATCTTGGGGCCCTCTTAGAATCTTCCCTCCCATATCACCAGATGTGTTCAAGGAAATTGGTATTTCCACCAACACTATGTCAGGGCACTTGATCTGTTGTGTGGTATACTTTGACTCCTGTTTGCAAATACTTTTTGACCTTACCATTTGTTTATAGAGGGTTTGGAGAGATGTTTTACTTCTCAATGTAGTCAAATCCTTCAAATATATCTTTGCAATATCTTTATTTGAAGCTTAGAAGGATGGTCCCTACTGAGGACACATAAGAAAATACATCCTTTTGCAGTCACTTTTTTTTTTAAAAAAGATTTTATTTATTTGACAGAGATGACAAGTAGGCAGAGAAGCAGGCGAGGGGGGTGGGAAGCAGGCTCCCGCTGAGCAGAAAGCCCTATGTGGGGCTTGATCCCAGAACCCCGGGATCATGACCTGAGCCAAAGGCAAAGGCTTTAACCCACTGAGCCACCCAGGTGCCCCTTGCAGTCACTTTTTAAAAAACATTTTGATGTATTTGAGAGTGACAAAGAAACCATGAGCGGTGGGAGAGGGAGAGCAGAGGGAGAAGCAGACTCCCTGCTGAGCAGGGAGCCCCAAATGGGGCTCAGTCCCAGGACCCTGGGATCATGACCTGAGCTGAAGTCAGATGCTTAGCCGACTGAGCCACCCACGCACCCCGCGTTGATCTAATATTATACTGGAACTACATTACTTTAATTATTGTAAGTTTTTTAAAAAGATTTTAAAAAAGATTTTAAGTAACCTCTACCTTCAACGTGGGGCTCAAACTCACAACCCTGAGACCAAGAGTCACACTACGAACTGAAGCAGCCAGGCGCCCCAATTTTGATACATTTTTAAACTTTTAATTTTGAAGCTATAAATTCACAGGAAGCTGCAAAAGTACAGAGAAGTCCCCATACACCCTCACCCAGTTTGGCCAGTGGTCCCAGTGGTAACATCTTCTGTAACTACAGGACAATGAAACAAGACACTGATTATGGCACAATGTGTGTGCTGTGCCATTTTAGTCCATGCAAACCTCAAAAAGATCAAGGTACAGAACTGTTTCATCATCACAAAGACCCCCTCTCCCTATACCTTGATAGCAAAATCCTTCTCCCCCTGCAGCCTCCTCACTCCCTGCCTTCACTAACCCCAAGCATGAGACCTTTTGAACTTGGCTTTTTTCACTATGTTTCTAGTAGCTGATAAACAAATGTCCCTTAAGTTTCTCTTCTTTTTCAAAAAATTATTGCAAATAAGTACACTCTACTTTTTAAAAAAAGCATGGAAACACTCAGACAACGTGAAAATAGAACAGTGTTGTGAGTACGCATACACGCATCACTCGGCTTCGACTGACATTTTGTCACCTTGTTTTGTCTACCTCAGTTTTTTCCTGTGTATTTGCAAGCAAATCTCAGACATAATTTTATCCATAAATAATGCAATATTGATCTCTATCAATTAAGGATTGTTTTAGCATCACCACAAGACCGTTGTTACATCTAAGAAAACTACCGTTGATTCCTCATTATCTAATACCCAATTTGGTTATCTCAAAAATGACTTAGCCCAGGCCCACAGTATATTTGGTACCTAGGTCACTCAAATCTCCTTGTACAGCTTTCTCTGCTATGGACTGAATGTTTGTATGCCCCCAAAAGTCACGTGTTGAAGGCCTTGTCCCCAGTGGGATAGTATCTGGAGGTGGGGCCTTTGAGAGGTGATCAGGCTGAGTTGAGTTCATGAGGGTGGAGCCCCCGTGATGGGATCAGTGTCCTTACAGTAGGAGGAAGAAACCGTAATCCCCTCTCTTCAGCCATGTGAAGACACAAGTAGATGGCTGTTTGCAGGGCAAGAAGGGATCATCTCAGAAAACCAAATCATGGTACCCAGGTTATGGGGTCCTCAGCCCCTAGGGTTGTAACAAATAAATGTCTGTTGTTGAAGCTACCCCTATTTTGTTATAGCAGCCCAAGCTGAGGAGGACACCCTCCTTTTTTTATGCCTTTTTTTTTTAAATTTTTTAGAGGACAGGAAGGGGCAGAGGGAGAGAGAATTTTTTTTTTTAAGATTTTATTTATTTATTTGACAGAGATCACAAGTAGGCAGAGAGGCAGGCAGAGAGGGGGGAAGCAGGCTCCCTGCTGAGCAGAGCGTCCGATGTGGGGCTCGATCCCAGGACCCCGGGATCATAACCTGAGCTGAAGGCAGAGGCTTAACCCACTGAGCCACCCAGGCGCCACAGGGGAGAGAGAATCTTAAGCAGACTCCACACCCAACACTGAGCCCAACACAGGGCTCGATCTCAGAACTCTGAGATCATGACCTGAACTGAAATCAAGAGTCAGACGAATGAGCCACCCATGCACCATGATGTCATTTATTGGTAGAAAAATTAGGGTCTTTGTTTTTTTTTTAAGATTTTATTTATTTATTTGACAGAGAGAGAGACAGTGAGAGAGGCAACACAAGCAGGGGGAGTGGGAGAGGGAGAAGCAGGCTCCCCGCTGAGCACGGAGCCTGATGCAGGGCTCAATCCCAGGAACCTGGGATCATGACCTGAGCCAAAGGCAGATGCTTAATGACTTGAGCCACTCAGGCGCCCCTCTTTTTTTTTTTTTTTTTTTTTAAATAGGATTTCTAGTATTTTGGAACTGGCTGATTGCAGATTTGTGGTGTATTAATCTCTTTAATGTCTGTATACGGACTTTGTAATGCAGTATTTTAAGTATAGAGATAAGTAGCAAGACAAGATGCTATACCCCCATCACAGGGTTCCCACGCTTAAAACCCACAATCAGACCTCATCTCTGCCCCAGCACTTACCCTCTGCTGGTTGCTACTGCTGTATAACAACTTACCCCAAACTTTCTTAGCTTAAAACAATGGTTTTATTTTCTCACAATTTTAAGGATCAGGAATTCAGGACAGGTCTGACCTGGCAGCTATCACTTGTGGTCCCCAGATGACTGCAGCTGAATGTTGTCCGGGGCTGCAGTCCTCGAGGCTCCACTGTGCTGGACGTGCAGGATGGCCGCTCAGAGGGCTGGTCACTGATGGTGCTGCTATGTGCTGGCGTGCGGCTCAGCTGGGAAGACTCAAAGGCCAGGGCTAGAATCACCTACAGGTTTGTTCACTCCCAAGTCTGGCACTTGGGCTGGAGGGCACTTCGTGACCAGGATTGCTGACAGCAGCACCTCCACGTGGCCTCCCCAGGTGGCTGAGCTGCTTGAGAGCATGACGTGGCAACTCGGGGCTCCAAGCACCAGCCTGGGTTCCAGTGAGCAAGGCAGGACTGCGTTACCGGTCATGGCCCAGCCTCAAAAACCACTGTTAGCACATTCTCCTGGTTACAAGAAAATGTCAAGCTTGCAGAGTTTTGAGAGAGAATATAGACTCCCCCAGGAGGGAGGAGCATCAGGGTCGCCAGCAGAACAGGAGGGAGAGGATGAGTTGTGGCTGCCTTTGGAAAATATCCTTAGCCACACTATACTCATTCACTTTGCAACAAATCTCAGATACCATCTCCATCAGTCACATCAGGACTCGGGTATATTCCATGCTTTTTGAGACACAATTCACACAAGAGAAAATGCACAGTTCCTAACATGCACACCTGGGTGAGTTTCACAATTGTATGCATCTTTGTAATCACCCAAACGAGATGCACAATCTTCTCACCTTGCAGAGTCCTCCTGTCAGCCAGCCACCCCCTCCCTGACCCCAGCAAGAACTTTCTGATTTCTGTCCTGCAGTAGTAAGACTTACTCTTACTAATTAGGTAGTAATGCACAGAAATTTGACTGGACACAACTTTACATTTCTCTAAGGCTTCTGTGGTACTTGGTTAATTGAAGGAAACTCTGACTTCCCCAAATCCTGCCTTTTCCAAACCTAATAGGGAAATTCTTCAGCTTTAAAACACAGCTGTGAGAGAAGACGCTCTTGCCCTAGTTTAGATGTTCTACCTGGCAGGCCATGCGTCTCTTTTCCCTTCTGACTGTTGGCTTGTGTTCTCTGCAAGGCCACCAAGACCAGCGACTCGCCTCATTCATGGAGTCTTTTCTGGGTTTACTCAGTCTCTTTGCAGCACATAATACCGTTGACGATTTTACCTTCTTTCTTTCTTTCTTTTTTTTTTTTTTTTTGGAGAGATTGTTTTACTCATTACCTTCTTTCTTTTTTTAGAGCTTTGTTGCATTATAATTTATGTTCCACCTGTTTAACGCGTCTGGAACCCCGCCGTTACCACTCAATGATTTTTAGCAAACTTTCAGAGTTGGACACCCATCAATCCATTTTAAGAACATATCCATCACCTTCAGAAGACCTCTTCTGCCCTTTTGTGGCTAATCTCTGTTCCCACCCTTAGTCCAGGCTTCTCCTTATATAAATCTGCCTTTTCTGGACATCTCATGTAAATGGCACAATAATATATGTGGTCTTCCCATCTGGCTTCTTTCAGTGGAACATTATGATTTGGGAACTTCTTCACGGTGCAGCGTGTGTCAGGAGCTTGCTCTGTGTCATGCTGAGATGTCTCCTTATATGGAGAGAGCCCACTCTTCACCTTCTTTCTTGCAAGTCCATCCTCACTTTAGCTCTCTGACCTCTCCCCTCTATGTCCAGCTTCTCTCCACCCTCTGAACTGAGGGTGTGACAGACACTGTTGGTGTCTCTCCCCACACCTGCCCTTGCTGACAGAGGTCCAGCCTCAGAATTTTCACACCGGGGCCCATCCTAGCAATGTTGGGCAGGGGACATCCAGCAGCGGAGGGTTCTGCTCCCAAAAAGAACAGCCTCCCATGGACGGGACAGCTGTCTTGTCTACATGTGACACCTAGAGCCATCCAGCTCTCTGGGGCAGGTACGGAGGGTGACAAAAGTATGCTCAAACAGTCCTTGATGTCACTACCCGCTGCTGAGCAAGCCACCCTGAGGGCCGTCCTCCGACCCTTTCCTCGGGGGACACTGAAGCGCGCAGGGAAAGCCGCATCTTGGTTGTTCTGTGGCTTCTGGCCAGAAGGCTCCTGACAGACTGGTAGCATTCTCCAAACCTTCTCCCCAGGACTCTGGCCCTTCCAGCATTCTTCCACTCTTAGGCAAAGGTGAGTGCATCAGGATCTGAAGGCAAGCCTTGCTCCCCAGCCCAACACCCCCATTGCAAATGACTTCCGGCCCTTGATGTCCCCACAGGTGCCTCAGTCTGAGCCTGCCCGTGCCCAGCTCCTCTCTCCCCGCCAGGCCAGCCTTCCTCCCATCAACTGACCGTCCATTCTCAAGGTCAGTGAAACTCAGGGCCCTGGACCTCCCACGTCTCATCCAACAGCAGGCTCTGCTGGTTCTACGTCCTGGATCCTTTTGGAATTCCTACTGCCAGTGCCTCATTAGCTCCTACTCAGTTGCAGCCCTGGGCCTAAGGTCCCCTCCCACTGCCCCAACAGCCTCCACTCTGGAGAAGCCTTTTCCCAAGGGACAAACCCCATCACACCTCCTCGTTTAAACTAGTTTAACAATTCCGTATCCACAACACACGTGACAAAACGAAGCAAAGGCTTCTTGTTCCGGCTGCGACGTGTGGCCTCCCCCTCCCCACATGCAAGGGTCTAGCACCCCTGGGCTGTTAACAGAGTGCATGAATAAAGGGAATAAATCTGCCCAGCCGTTTAACCCCTCTGTCCCACCAACACTGAAGCCTCTGCATCCGCGAGCCGTCCACGGCTGAACGCCAGACCGAAGCGGCCTTCCAGGGTTCTGCTGCGGCCTGCGGAGCGCAGAGGGCTCGGGAGTGCGCTGTGCAGCGGCGCGCCCCGCAGCCCCCGACGACTCGCCTCGATCTTCCCTGAGCTCACACTCCGCCTGCAGTCCTGGGGACGTACCTCCCGAGCGCGCCTGGAACCCCGCCGTTAGCATCCCCCCGCCCCCGGCGCCCGGCCTCGGGCTCCGGGCCCTGGGCATGTCCTACCTTCGACTTCAGATGAAGAAGGCCGCGGTCCCTCGGCTGCCCCTTTCTTCCCCGGGGGGCTCTCTGCGGGCTTGGTCAGAGGCTTCTCGGCCTCCGGAGAGCGCCTGTCCGTCGACCTTTCCCTCGTTTTCGCGACGGAAGAGCCGCGCGCCCTTGCCTCCTCGCCTGCAACGCACGCACGACCCGTTAGCCGCGTTCTCCTGCGGCTCGAGCTGCGGGTCCCCGCCCCGCCGCGGCCAGCTCGGGCCGGAGCGGCACTTCGCCTCTCCCAGCACCGCGCGCTCCCTGCCGAGAAGACCCCCGCGGCGCGTCCGTCGGGGAGACCTCGGGCGCCGGCGGGCGCCCCGCAGCTCCCAGTCCCGTGCCGACCGCGGCCCCGGGGCCGAGGAGACGGCGGGCCCGCGCTCCTTTACCTTTCCTAGACTTGGGTTTGCTTTTGGAAAGTCCCATAGGTGAGCCCACCGCCCCCGCCGGCTCTGCCCGGCCCGGGCCTCCGCACCTTCGCGGGCGCGCAGCCCGAGTGCCTCACAGAGAGTCCCGCGGCCGAGCAGCGCGCGTCGCCACGGCAACGCCCCGCCCGCGGGATCCGCGCCGCGCTCTCGCGAGAGCTGCCGCTCGCCGGAAGTGGGCGGTGACCCCGGAAGTTCCCGCGCGGCGGAGCGGTTAGGGGCGGTCGACTCGGCCCGGGGGTCCCGTGCGCCCGTTCTTGGGAGGGCTGCCTCTGCCGAACCGGCCATGGACGGTAAGAGACCCCGGCCGCCGGGGGAGGGCGGACCCCGCGGGCCTCGGTCAGGGACCCCGGACCCTCACCCCCTTCCCCCAGACTCCTCCAGCTCCTGTACCCGCGAGCGGCAGCGGCCTTTGAGGCCCTGGGATGTCCGGTCAGAGGGCACCGGAAAAGGAGACGGCGGCGGCCCTGTCCCCAGTGCACCGCCGACAGAAGTACGAGGCGCTCCGGCGAGAAGCCCTTCTTGCGTGCCGGGCCCGGTTGTGCGTGTGGGGCGGGAGCCTGCCGCCCCCTTCTCCGGGTGGGGAAGCAGAGCCCCGGCTGCCTAGCCTCGGCCGCGCTCCGGGCACCAAGGGCCAGGAAGGATGGGTGGTCAGGTGAGGTCCTGCGTTTGCCGGAGTGTGTACGGGCTGGTGCGGCCCGCGGAGAGATGGAAGGGGCCGTTGGACCACGGCCTTATCACCCGTTGGCCAGAGAGGGGATGACAGCTCCTTAACCCCCACCAGAGGCTGGGCTTCACTCCGCAGTTCCCCAGCTGTCAGGGTGGCTTTCCTTTGGCCGGTCCACTTTCTTCCAGGGTCAGGTTTCGCCTTAAGAGCTCTTTGCTCCTGCGAGTCCGTTCCTGGGGCTCGAGTACCGAGAAGGCCGAAGCAGGGAGGGGCCCGGAAGCCGGAGAGCCAGAGAGCCGCAGAGCCGGCCACACCTCGCCTTGCTTCCCTGCGGGCGGCACTCTGCCACCTGTGTCCAGTTAGCTCGGAATTGATTCCACAGCGGCCTTGGCCTTGGCCCGGGCTGGCACAGGGCCTGAGACCCCCCCACCCCCCACCCCGCGCCTCCAAGGCTCTCAGCTGGGGGCCTGGATTTGCATTTGTGAACACTCCATACCCTCTTTCTGGTTACAGATCTCGTATCTTCTTTCTGGACTAGTGTGGTAGACCCTTTGAGACATCGTTCTCCGCATTTAAAAATGGAAAAAACAGTTTAAATGTGAATCTGTATCTACCTGACTCGTGAGCTTGGTGGGTGAGAGCAGGTGTGGCTGTCCGGAGAGTTAGTCTCCCTGGTTCCTCCTGTGGACAGGGGGGCGCCTGAGCCCGATTTGATGGCTCAGATATGCCAGATGCCATGGAAGGTGGTCTCTAGCTGCGGGCCAGGTCTTTGATAGCACAGGAGTCACCCTCTTGCTACTTTTACCCATTTACTTTTGGTGACAAAAAGTATATAAAATACAGATCACCCAATACTAAGCTTTACTAAGTTGGGAAAGAATCCCAAGGGCCTTTGTCAGGATGCCTTAATTACAAAGCCCCGCTCGAGTTTTCACTCTGGGCCACATGCTGTATCCATGACCAGTTTTGTCGGCCACTAATCCTTGAGGACAACCCCTGCCACCCTGGTATTACCTGTAAGGAGTCAGAGGTGAGAAAGCCTCTACATTTGCCCTTTGGCTGATGAGGGAGCAGAGCTGGTGCACGAGACCATCTTCTGCCTCCAGTGTGCAGTGGGCCTCTCTGAAGGCACCATCTGTGCCTGCACCTGTTCCAGCTCTCTGTGTCGAGGAGAGCCTTAGTGGCCCCATCTGCTTGTTGGACGTGCCACTTGTCACAGTTGAAATCCTCAAACCAGGGATGCCTGCATGGCTCAGTGGTTTGAGCCTCTGCCTTCGGCTCAGGTCATGGTCCCAGGGTCCTGGGGTCGAGCCCCGCATCGGGCTCTCTGCTCGGCGGCGAGCCTGCTTCCTCCTCTCTCTGCCTGCCTCTCTGCCTACTTGTGATCTCTGTCTGTCAAATAAATAAATAAAATCTTTAAAAAAAAAAAAGAAAGAAAGAAAGAAATCCTCAAACCATCTCCTTTCTTTGCAGATACCCTGTTCCAGTTGAAGGTATGTACTGAATGACCTTTCACGCCAACCCTGTCTTAGTCATTAGCAAATGAGGACAAACGGTGTCAGTCACACCTAGAAGGAGTGTGTTTGTGAGTTTGTAATCTGCGTGATTTCTGGACAGAGGCCTTCTGGACTGATGACAAGGCAGAGGTTATTGAGTTGGCTTCATGGCATATTAAGCCTTGCCTTGTCTTGGGCTGAGCAGAAGCAGGCCATGTGGGCTCGTCCGTGAGGGAGTGAGCCTGTCGTCTTTTTAAGAAACGTCTTTAGGAAACTCGGGTATTAGGTGCATCCCTTGGTGTTCCACTAGGCATTGAAAATTGTGGTTTCACATTCCTTACCGTCACGTGGAAGGAGAGCGTTCTGAGCAGCAGAGCAGGCCTCTTAGGATTAATCCACAACAAGCTTCTGCCTCTTTTCCGTTGAATACCTCCATAGTTAGCCATCGTGCTTAGTTCTGAAAGGCTGCGCAGGGGTGAGGTCCACACTGCTCACTGTAGCTCATCACACTGGTTTTGCAATGGAGAGGAAGGGCCAGGAACACCCGAAGGCCCAGGTGCTTTGTTTGGCAAGCTTCCAGCTTGTGGAAAGTGCTTAGGGCCAGATTCCCGGTTCAGGAAAATCTGGATTTTTCCCTGAAAGAATGTAGGAGGGGGCACCTGGGGGGCTCAGTGGGTTAAGCCTCTGCCTTCGGCTCAGATCATGATCTCAGGGTCCTGGGACCGAGTCCCGCATCGGTCCTGCTCCTAGGGCAATGCGTCCCTCCCTCTACCCCTTCACGTTGCTCGTGCTCTCTCTGACAAATTAAAAAAAAAAACTTTTTAAAAAGGAACATAGGAATGTGAGGTAGGTAGACAAGAAATCCTTCCTGTATGACAGAAAGTCCCAAGTGGGGGGGCACTGAGGGCCGGTGTTGGGTGGTCCTCGCAGGCAGGCAGGTGTCTCAGGCTAAGGAGATGCCACCAGCCGGGAAGCTGTGTGGTCCTCTGGAAGGTCACTCTTGCACCTGGCTTATCTGAGCATTGCCTGCCAGCTTCCTGGCCAAATGAGGCGTTTTAGGGGGAGCTGTGGGGACCACTCCAACCAGGCCTGGGGGCGTGCACTGCCCAGCAGCCCCTTGCAAACACGATGTTCTGTGAAGAGAACACTTCGATGTGTATGTTCATCAGGAACTCTGTGTTACCATTTGGGGTCACCTGAAGCAGATTCTGTCGAGTTTTTTCAGAAAGTTGAAAATCCATGGGAAAGGGGCCGGTGGCTCAGTTGGTTAAGTGTCCATCTCTTGTTTTTGGCTCAGGTCATGATCTCAGGGTCCTAAGTTGGAGCCCCATGTCGTGTTCCGCAGCCGGCGGGGGAGTCTGTTAAGAGTCTCTCTGCCCTGCCCCCTTGTGCACACGCTCTCGCTCTCACTCTCTTTCTCGTGAATAAATAGATCTTTTTTTTTTTTTAAAGATTTTATTTATTTATTTGACAGACAGAGATCACAAGTAGGCAGAGAGGCAGGTGGAGAGAGAGGGGGAAGCAGGCTCCCCGCTGAGCAGAGAGCCCGATGCGGGGCTCGATCCCAGGGTCCCGGGATCAAGTCTGCATCAGGCTCCCTGCTTGGCAGGAAAACACCTTCTCCCTCTCCCTATGCTCTCACCCACCAAAGCTCAAGAGTCAGGTAGACACGGATTCACATTTAAACTATCTCAATTTCTTCCATGTTTAAATGCGGAGAATGATGTCTGAAAGGGTTTACCACACTCTCTGTCAAATAAATAAATAAAATCTTTAAAAAAAAAAAAAGGAAAGAAAATCCATAAGTAGTACTGAGTGTGTGAGTTGGCCTTTTTTTTTTTTTTTTTTTTAAGATTTTATTCACTTGAGAGAGAGAGAGATCATGAGCGGGCGGGGTGGGGGGGAGAAGCAGGCTTCCTGCTGAGTAGGGAGCTGACGCGGAGCTTAAGTACGGGACCCTGGGATCACGACCTGAGCTGAAGGCTGATGCTTAACCGACTGAGCCGTCCAAGCACCCCGTGTGAGTTGGCTTTTTAACTTCCCACGCTGGGTTCGGTGTTCTGTGTTAGGACATATTAGGAAACCCTCACAGCTCTCCCTGTCCCCTCAGAGACCCAGCGAGCTCCCTCCATGTAGTCCCAGCTGTGAGGACACTGGCAGGCCGGGCCCCCTCTCTGTGCAGTAGGGGCAGGGGATGCTGAGGAGGGCAGGGAGGGTACCCAAGGACCGCCGTGTGTGTCTGACCTGAGTGTCCTGTTTCTGCTCAGTTCACAGCCAAGCAGCTGGAGAAGTTGGCCAAGAAGGCGGAGAAGGACTCGAAGGCGGAGCAGGCCAAAGTGAAGAAGGTGAGGCCGCCGCGCGCCCCGGCCGTGCCCCTCGCTGCTTTGGCTTCTGCGGCTTCTGCTGCTTTGTTCTGGTGTCTTCTTTTTGTGGGAGGTGCACCCCATGACTCTGGCCATGGGTGCTCTCTCGGGCCTGCTCAGGGCCTCCAGTGACCCCTCTCTGCCTCCCAGTCCACTAAGGGCGGCGTCCAGAGCAAAAGGACCGTGTGTTGCCTTTGCTTTTTTCCTGGAAGGTCCATGCCTTTTATTTGCTTCCAAAGTTCTGAACACGCATTTTGCACAAATTGTGTGGGACGTGGGCTTCCAGCAGTCCCCACCACGCCCCAGCCCCCTCCCTTCCCTCTTCCTTGCGTAGCCCGTGCCTCAGGCATCAGACCCGGGGCAGAGGGGAGGTGGTGGGGACTTCTGGCTGCTCTCCGTGGGGGCTCTGACAGCTGCTACGTAGCTCCCGGGGGTGTTAGGGTTTGGTGACCCCCTCCCCCAAACTGGCACTCCCAGGGCAGAATGGAAACCAGAGGACTGACCCCAGTCTGTTCCTTCGGTTTCCTCCACGGTCTTGCTTGCCGTCAGCCATCGCCGTGGTGGTTTTTGGGAGCGTCTGTGGTGTGGGCGGCTGGAGAGACCAGAGAGGGCGTGCGGCAGGAGGAGATGGGCTGGAAGGTGGGGAAAGCGGCTGTGTCCCTGTGGCCAGGTCTGCTTTGTAGCCCCCAGCGTGGGCTGTTCTGGCATGCTGCCTGGACACCGCAGTCCTGAACAGGCTGGGGGCCTGGCGTCTCTGCATTCTCACAGAGCTCACAGGCCAAGGGGGCTGCCCCACGCTAGCAGATCTTGCCCTGGGAAAAGCCAGGAGCAGGTCCCCGGCGGTCGGTCACAGCTCCTGCACGCTCTCCCGGCTGGCGCTTCCCCCCAATTTCAGGCTCTTCAGCAGAAGAACGTGGAGTGTGCCCGTGTATATGCCGAGAACGCCATCCGAAAGAAGAACGAGGGCGTGAACTGGCTCCGCATGGCGTCCCGCGTGGACGCAGTGGCCTCCAAGGTGCAGACGGCCGTGACCATGAAGGGGGTGAGTACTCGTGCCTCAGTCCCTGTGCCATGCGGGCTGGCTTCTGCCAGCAGAGACGAGGAGCCTAGCTGGGCAGGAGGAGCCATGCCAGTCCCCGTGGGTGGTGTCACAGGGATTCCGTCCACACTGTGAGGGCGGCACCAAAGGACGAGACAAGGTGTCCTCGGGTTTGTCTTAAGGAGCCGTGGCTTGAGTCTCGTGTCTGTGGTTCAGTTGATAGCATTTTCTGGAGACCTGCCAAGAAAGAGCCTTGCAGCCCCCAAGAGGCCCAGCCTGTCCCGAACAGGGCTTGGCTTGGCCAGGGCTGGCGTCCTGTTGGCCCTGGGCGGGGCATGGGCCTGGGGAGAGTGCCGGGGGCCTGTCCTCTGTGGGTGACATTTCCTTCCTTCAGTTCTGTTGCCTCCTCACTTCCTCCCATGCCAGGTGACCAAGAACATGGCACAGGTGACGAAAGCCCTGGACAGGGCGCTGAGCACCATGGACCTGCAGAAGGTCTCTGCGGTGATGGACAGGTTTGAGCAGCAGGTGCAGAACCTCGACGTGCATACCTCGGTATGTCGCCGGTGCTCAGGGCAGGCAGGGCTGTGGCCGGGAGGGGCTCATGTGGCTGGCCCCCTCTGTGGGAGCTGCCTACAGAGCTCCTGACTCCTTCGGGGTCTGGACCAGTATGTGGAGGCCTGGCAGATACGAGGGAGGCTTGGCGCTGGGGCGTGAGCGCCTCTTCCAGGGTGGTGGTCGGCTGGGCCACCTGGGTGAGCGCCCAGGGGTCTGAGAGTGCTGGAGACAGTGCCTTGGGAAGTGGGGTGGCCTAGTGCGGGTGGAGGGAGTGAGCAGGAACCAAGTTGAGAGGGTGGCCGGAGGTCCCAGGCCCGCACCCACCTGCCCAGACCATGACCCTCAGGTGATGGAGGACTCCATGAGCTCGGCCACCACGCTGACCACGCCGCAGGAGCAGGTGGACAGCCTCATCGTGCAGATTGCCGAGGAGAACGGCCTGGAGGTCTTGGACCAGCTCAGCCAGCTGCCTGAGGGCGCATCTGCCGTGGGCGAGAGCTCCGTGCGTAGCCAGGAGGACCAGCTGTCGCGGAGGTGGGCTCACTGCCCCCGATCCTGGGCTGTTCGCCCCATGCTCTGACGCTGGGGCTGTGGGAGATGGCAGGAAGGACAGCCCGGGGTGCTGCTCCTTCCACGGAGGCCTGCAGCTGAGGCCCAGCCCAGATTCTGTCTGGCTGCCTCTGTCCCCTGCCCCTTATTCAGTCCGTGTTGTGTCACCATGTGCTCTCACGCTTGTCCATGGTTCACTTTAGGAACTCACATGACAGGTGTTTGACAGTGCGCGGCCGCTCCCCCCGGCTCTTCCTACGCTAACCTGATGGCCTTGCGAGGCCGAGCTTTAGAGGGGAGGGTCGTGGCCTGGTGGAGGGGTGAGGGGCCCTTGGCCCCCAGGGCTGGTGTCTTGGATCAGGTGCACAGCGGCTCAGGCGCACCTCTGCCCCCATCCTCTCTCACAGCAGCTGTGTTGTTCATTTGCAGGTTGGCCGCCTTGAGAAACTAGCCGAGTACCGTCCCTGGCCTTGACGTGCAGGAAGGGCCGGGGAGGAGGGCTGCATCTCTCTCCCCACGCCATTTGCCTTTCTGCACACCCTGCAGTGTGGCCCTTCCCTCCAGGCCTGGGAATTGTCCCTCTTAGCGTAGACGGTGGCTGTGTCCCGGTGGGTGAGTTTGCACAAACTTCTGACTTCCGTGGGTTATTTCTGTAACTCTGGGCTGACCGGCTCGGGGTTCTGCTGGCTCCCCTCCACCCCCCACCCGGGGATAAGGACTAACCAGTGGATGCCATGGGGGCTGTGGGGGCCTTCAGACTCTGTGTGACAGCAGACGTGCTGCTAGTGGTCAGCTGACGGGGGTCAGCTCTGCTTCCTGTTGCCGGGCACTTGGAGGCTGGGCCCACTCGGGATCCCTGGCATCAGGCACCATGCTCCAAGTCCAGGCATGCCTTTCCAGGGGGTCCCCACCCTCATTCCACTGCTGCCTCTGGAAAGCCTGGGGCCCCAAGGGGTGTGCTCTGTGTCCTGTAGGAACTCAGGTCTGCACTGAGGTCCTTCCCAGTAAGGAGCTGGCGGTCTCCCAGTCCCACTTGGGGTGCTGCATCTGTGTCGCTCTCTTCTGTACTGTAAATAATGGGTGCCTCCCCCCGACTGGTCTCTCCCCTGCCTTTGGGCTCACACCGTTCAACCTGGAAGCCAGAGGGGCCGGCTGGAGTGCGCCGCACTCGGAGAGATGCCCCCGGTGGGCCAGCTTTGGGAGGCCCCGAGGCAGCGCAGCCCAGCGGCTCGCAGCAGCTCCTCCCGATGAGTTTCTGGGACAGGCAGCACTTGCCATGTTTTTAAGTTCCTGAGGTTTTCTTTGTTTTCTTGAAGCTTCCAGGGTTTTTTGTTTTGCCAAAATAGAAGGAGCAGACAGCAGATGGGGAGCACTGGGTCCAAGCCCAGTTCTTGGTATGAACTGGGGAGACCTCCATGGTTGGTCCTGAAGGGGCCCGGCTCTGTGCACGGCCACCACCCAGCCAGCCCTTTCCAGAGGTCTCCAGCTGTCCCAGCTGTCCTCACACCAGTGGTTCTCGTAAACAGAAACTCTGGAGACCTTTACCATGACTCACTGCGTGTGATTCTCCTGGACCTGCTTGTTCTTGGGTGTTCTCTGTGGTCTCTTGTGTTGGGGCAGCCTTGATGCTTGAGACGGTGGTGTGAGGGGTTGGCGTGCTGTCTGGTTTTTCTTCTGCAATGCCGGCTTCGCCTTACTCCCCGGCCATGGTCTCTCAGGGCACCCATGTCCTGGGGCCTCAGAGAAGATCCTCGCTGTCCCGGGGCCCAGTGAGGGCGGAGCTCCGCAGCTGTGGCTCACCAGGGAACACTGGGTGCGCTCGCCTGTTTCCTAAAATGCTGTTGTGAGTAAACAGATTGATCCCTGAGAGTTTTTCTCCGGCTTTCTTCAGTGGCCTTGGGTAGGGTGGGGAGCTGTAGGTGGGCCCCCAGATAGGGCTCTCCAGGCCCCAAGCAGGAGGCTGAGGGCGGGTGGGGTGGGCGGGCCGAGGTATGCATGCTCTGGGCTCCACGCCTACAGATGGAGTTAGAGTCTGAACTTACAAATTTTCTTAACTTTTTACCTTGAAATAATTTTAAACATACATAAAATTGCAAATTGCATGGTTTCTGTATACTTTTGTCTGTCAGCGCCCCCCACTTTCTAGTTCACCTCTGTAACCGGCTAGGTCACCTCGCAATGCCTCCATTCTTCCAAGCTGGGACAGTCCCATTTGTCTTTGTGACCTAGAAGGTCCCCTTTTTTTTTTTTTTAAGGGGTAGAGTGAGCGCATGAGAGCGAGGGTGGTGCTTGGGCAGAAGGAGAGGAGGGCCGAGAATCCCAGTCAGACTCCACATCCAGCACAGAGCCCGGCATGGGGCTCAGTCTCATGACCCCGAGATAGTGACCTAAGCTGAAATCAAGCATTGGACACTTCTCCAGCTGAGCCCCTGAGACGCCCTGAGCGGGAGGCGCCCTGACCTAGAGGGCCTGGACGCTCGCTGGCCAGTTATTTTATAGACCGCCTTTCCACTCGGGCTGATGGGACTTTTTCACATGATGACATTGAGGTCACAGCTGTTGGCAAGAGTCCCCCAGAAGTGGCATCTTCTCTTCCACGCTTCACACCAGGCGCTCCGTGTTACCGTCTTGTTCACCTGGGACGGGGTGTGGGCCAGGCATCTCCCCCGGGACGTTCTGTTTTCCCCTCTGTTGAGCATCTTGTGGGGAGAAATTTCAGGATTGCAGCATCACCTGGAAACATTGTCATACTTTGCCCCTGATACTCCTTTCCCTTGATGAATCTTCCTGGTAACAACGGTCATGGTGATTTCCTATTGGCAGTTCTGTTTTTAAAAAGAGATCTCTCTGTTTCCTTACTGCGTCATTTCCATCCGTGTAGGCCTGTGGGTGTTTCCCGCTGTGGGCCCCAGAAACCACACACGGACACCCCACTGAGCCCCAGAAACCACACATTAGCCCTGCTCAGGCTCAATCTGGCCACCCCCTCCTCACGTGTAACTTACCTGACAGCAGCAGTCAGCCTCCGTGTCCTCCTGGCTTCGCTCATTTGTCTTTCACAAGCCAGTGAGGACTGTTAACCGCCCCTCTGTGGGACTGCTTGCTTAGCCGGGGACGGCACGCACTGTCCTTCCCTCGGCCTCCCGGCGCTCCCCTGTAATGTTCCTGCTCTTCCCGCGCGTGCCAGTCCCCATGGTCCCCGTCCGTCATTTGTGTGCCCCGTGGGTGCCCCCATCTGGCCTGGTCTTGAATTGGTTTTCAGACATGTGAAATGTGCCAGGACTTAAGAGTTGGGACCCAATCCTGGCTTGTCCTTAGCTGGGGACAGTCTCCAGCTCCCAGGTCCCTCACACCGCGCACATCTGCCTGTGCGCGGGACCCCCGGTTGTGCACCCCATGTGGGCCTCATCAGGGGAGAGGTGGACCCTGGAGGAAGCTCCCTGCAGCCTGGGGAGGGGGTTCGCGCAGCCTCAGGAGACATCTCTCGAGGTTGGAACAAGCTTGAGTGAACATGGGAATAAACTGTGGCAGGACACATTGATAGTGGACAGCAGTGAGCTCCCTGGGACCAGGTCAGGCTCTGGGTGGCACCTGCAGCTGTGGCCTCTCTGGGGTGGTTACGGGGTGGTGTACGTGGCAGGATTTGGTGTGCCACTCCTGCACCCCACCGGAGGGGCCCTTCCCACGGCCTCTGCCAAAAAAGCCCCTGTGGCGGAGTGGGGAGCTGTGGGCGGGACTTGGCCAACTCAGGACAGAAACGATCTAACATTAAATCCCTCCAAAGTGATCCGCACATCCCCACCAGTGTCCCTCTGGGCACAGCAGACCTGCCTGGGAGAGAGAGGCTGGGACCCTCACAGGCCGAGGGCGGCCAGGCTTAGGCGGCGGCCGCACGGCTGTCCACTCATTTGTGGGCACCTTAGGGCACACAGCACCTGGGCAGGGGGCTCCTCCCGCGGTAGTAAAGCCTGTACTTGTCCAGGCGTGGTGTTCGTAGAGGCTCCAGCCTAGAACGGGGGAGCAGGGCCGAGGGGTGAGCTGTGGGCACACGCGTGGCATGAGGATGGGGGTGCACACGTGTGTGGGGGGGTGCATGCAAGTGGGGGCACACATGAGGGTGGGATGCACATGTGAGGGTGGGGCACACGGGCATGTGAGGATGGCATGCACACGTGTGCACCAGAGGAGGGGTGTGCACACGTGTGTATATCATGGTGGGGGGGGGGCGGGGGGGGGGGGGGTGGGGGGGGGGGCAACTGCAGCCTACATGGTGTTTTCAGAGATGGAGGCAGTGCCCAGGCTGTGCCCTTTTGAAGACCCCGAGCCCTTTCTGACCCAGCTCTCCCAGGACCCAGGTGCTGCTGTGTCTGAAGGTCCAGCCTGGGACCATTTTTACAGAATTTGCCCTTGGATGCCCAGGAGACCCCCTCCAGGGCCGGGGTGCTGAGGACACACACGATCTTGACTCAGAAGGGTCGTTGCCTTTATTGATGGTGGTGCTACCTGTGGCGTGTCTGGGTCAGGCCTGCCCACAGCTCACCGCCCTCGGGGGGGGGGGGCAGGTACATGCTCTGGAGAGGCCAGGCTTTGTGCGTGGGGAGCGGCACCCTGGCATCTCCCTGCTCCGGTGGCCACGGTCTCCCCAGAGCTGTGGGAGCCCCTAAGGGCATCACAGAAGACACAGACCAAGGAGGACGGAGCTGAGGGAGGCCAGCAGGGCCCCCGGTGGAGGGTGGAAGCTGGGAGCCTCTGAGTAGCCGTACGTCGTCCTACAGGAGCCCTGCAGCTCGCCCAGGGAGATGGGCACCTCCTCAGGGGTTCGCTCGTGGTCGCTCACCTGGGGACAGACATGGGGGGCTGCCGGCCTGCCTGCCTGCAGGGAAGGCTCTTAGGGCAGCAACCGTCCTCACCTGTTCCACGGCCTCAAAGACCCTGAGCAGGTTGTTGGCCAGCGCGCCCCTGACCTCTGCCTCTGTCCACTGCCTCCTGAGCAGCTCGGCCACCAGGTCTGGGTACTTGGACACATCCTCAAGCCCCGAGGGGAGCCTGAGGTGAGGACGGAGAGAACCAGGCTCTGCATTCCAGGGTCAGGGCCTCGGCCCATCCACCTCCCCACAAATCAGAGCTTGCCACGCCTTGAGAGGGAGACATGCCGGGCTTCTCCGCAGTCACACACTTCCTAGCTTCAGCCCCTCATGATGTGTTTGGGGTGGGGGCTGACCCTCCTGGCTCCTCTACAGGACCACGGCCTTGCCGCCTTACCTTGAAACACCGTCATAGTCCCCACCAAAGCCCACAGCTCCGGCTCCTGCCACCTTCTTGATGTGGTCCAGATGGTCTGCCAAAGAAGGCAGTGGGTGTGGGTCCCAGCAGCTGCCCTCCACCGCCCCCCCCTCACTGCTGTGGCTGCTCATGTCCACCTACCTGCTACCTGGGACAGGGTGGCCTCCTTTTGGCAGGAGACATAGTCGTTGTAGAAATTCACCATCACCAGGCTGCCTGTCTGGTTCTGCTCAGGAGAAGGGGAGAGCCGTGGGCGCAGGAGGGGCACTGCGGCCCAGGGAGCAGGCCAGACCCCCGTGCCCTGGCCCGCAGCCCCTCACCACCAGCTGGAGCACGTCATCGGGCACATTGCGCCGGTGTCTGCACAGGCTGTAGGCTGAGGAGTGGCTGAAGATGATGGGAGCCTTGGACAGACGCAGGGCAGCCTTCATGGTGGCCACGGACACGTGGGCCAGGTCAATGATGACACCCAGTCGGTTCATTTCCCTCACCACACTCTGCATGGACACGGCCGCGGGGGCCAGCAAGGCTGCACTGAGCACACCGGTGTTTGCACGGCCCTCTGGGGCTCACCGCAGCTCCCCTGACAAGTCTGGGCATTGGGGGCGGGATTGGGCAAGGTTCCCGTGCTGAGCCAGGTGCTTGTGAACTCTTCAGGGGCGGGGGGTGACCTGCAGGTTCCGGCACGTGCCCACCCTGGGACAACCCCTGCCAGCTCCAGCTGATCGTAAGCCAAGGGCCCGAGACACGAGACCCTGTCTGCTGGGTCTTCTCCAAGGGGGACTGTGGTCCCTGCTGAATGCCCCCCTCACCTGGCCAAAGTCTGACAGGCCTTGGCTCTGGGCCTGGTCCTCTCCGGTGTCCACCAGCCAGTTGTCAGCCCTGGGAAAGGGGACAGCAGATGTCCCAGGGGCAGAGTGGTCATCCTGGTCTGCCCATGTCCCAGACACCCCCTGATCCCCACCCCAGGACAGGTAGGTGCAGGAGGAGGGGAGGGCTCATGTTGGACCCCGGGCCCAGGACCCTCCCGTACGGCTTGGGCCGTCCCTGGGGGCCCTTACCAGGGCGTGTTGCAGCTGTGGGTGAGGGTCAGGTAGCGCATGCCCAGGTGGTAGAGAGCCCGCAGGACGCCCAGGCTGCTGTCAATGGAGTGGCCACCCTCCACGCCGATGAGACTGGCTACCCTCCCCTCCTGGAAGGCCTGCCGGATGCCTGCGAGGATAGCCAGCTGGGGGGCAGCCCGGGGTGTCCCGGGGCTTCCACAGAGGGCACCCCTGAGCGGCGCCAGGCTGGGGTGGGGAGCAGCAGGGGCTCCAGGGGGCGGGCTGCACCAGCACCCACCTGTGCTGTTGGTGACACACACAAAGGTCTCGGGGTACATCTGGCACATGCGGTGGATGACGTCAATCTGCTCCAGGATCCTCCTCACGGCGTCCTTGTTCTGGGTGTCGCAGGGGGTGTATGCAGACCAGAACTGGGGGCCCAGGGGAGAGGGGCGGGGCGCTGAGGCTGTGGGCCCCACGCCCACATGCACGCCGTCCCACTTCCCTCCTGTCTCGGAAGCCCTCCCCTGGCCTGTGTGGCTCCCTGAAGGCTTGGGGCCCTAAGGTTCCCAGGTGTACCCCCCACAAGTGAGGGCTAGCCCCTTAGCCAGGACCCAGGCAGAGGCCAGTGCAGGGCTGAGCTGAGCCATACCTGGGCCCCCACAAAACCAGCCCTGAGCTTGGGGATGTTGGTGTGGGTCTGGGCAAGGCTCGTCAGGTTGGCCGCCTTCTCCCAGAGCTGGTTGTTGAACAGCGTTAGCAGCTGCCATGGAAGGTCGTTGTGCCTGGGGGAGGCCGGGAGAGAGGGAGAGAGGCAGGCAGGATGGCCACACGGACTGGACCAGCCACAGGGGTGGTACAGGGTTCCTTAGCTAAACCCAAAGGGTGGCTGCTCCCGGGAGCTCCACCAGGGGACTGGGAGCTGAGAGCGCCTCTGGGGGGTCTTCCCTCAGGGGATCGTCCCCATGGAAGAGGGAGAAGCAGCCGTGGCAACAGGGGCAGGAGTTCAGACAGGGCTGGCTGACCCTGGGTAGCTGGGTGCGAGACCCTGACCCTGACTGTCTTCCCAAGTTAGGAAATCCTTGAGGCGCCTGGGTGGTTCAGTGGGTTAAGCCTCTGCCTCCGGCTCAGGTCATGATCCCAGGGTCCTGAGATCGAGCCCCGCATCGGGCTCCCTGCCTCCCCGCCTGTCTCTCTGCCTGCTTGTGATCTCTCTCTGTGTCAAATAAATAAACTTTATTTTTTAAAGATTTTTATTTATTTGACAGAGATCACAAGCAGGCAGAGAGGAGGGGAAGCAGGTTCCCCGCTGAGCAGAGGGCCCGAAGGCAGAGGAGAGGCAGAGGCTTTAACCCACTGAGCCACCCCTGCGCCCCAAATAAATAAAATCTTAAAAAAAAAAAGATGAAATCCTCCCCATGTTGGGAGGGGTGGGGATGTGGGTGTGGCCTGCCTCTGGGGGCCTGGCATCCCCACCCCATACTCCTGGGGCAGCAGAAGCAGGGCATTGGGGCATGGGACCAAGCACGTCCTGATATGCTCCCAAAGGACTGAGGCCCCTCAGAGTTTTCCGAGGAGCCAGTAGGGGTGAGAGGGAGAGAGGGGAGGGAGAGGGGAGCAGGAGTGGGCTGGAATATCAGCAGCTGGTTGGGGCTGCAAAGGCAGAACCCACGGCGGGGGAGGGGGCAGGTTGCTTCCTGGACCCAGGAACAAGTTGCAGCCTGAAGGGCGAAAGACCTCTGGGCCACCAGGTCCCCCTAAGCTCCACATGTGGAAGAGGGTGGGCCAGGGAATGGATGGGAAGTGCAGAGTCTCAGGCCCAGCTCAGCCCTGTGCGTTGGAATCTGCGCTTGAATCGGCCAAGCCTGGACTGCGGGACACTTGTGGGGGAGCCTGAGGTAGATGAGTAACTGCTAGGACCAGGGCCTCGCAGGTCAGCTGCCCCTGCTTTCCTGGGGGGCTCCTGCCACTAATGCGTTCTGATGTGACAGGGTGTGAGCTGGTGGTCAGGACGCTTCTGATCACCGAGAGGTGGATGGGAAGGTGAACGCCAGAGCCCGGGTGCCACTGGGTGCTGCCTGGGGCAGGGCTGGGCAGGGCCCCTGGACAGGACTTTACACCTGTCCTGAGGATGCCCCACCCTCCAGCCACCGGCCAGGAACCCTCCAGGAGGAAGGGGCACTTTCACTGGAGCCCAGGGTGGGGAACAGAGGCCACCTTTGCCCTGCGGTCAGCACTGCTGCTCTGGAGCCTGCTGGACCCACCCTCCTTGTCTGCGTGGCAGGGGCGGTTTCCCCAGTGGTGATCTGAGGAATCGATCCCTGCTCGAAGGGGGGAAGTGACAGTTCCAAGCACTTAAAGGACAGCTAGGTATTGTAGGAGACTGCTGGTGGCTTGTTATCCAACCTCCACCTTTTCCTTGGTAAGAGCACCTCCTATTTTTTTTTTTTAAAGAGTACTTACTTGTCAGAGAAAGAGAGCACAAGCAGGGGGAGCAGGAGGGTCCCCGCTGAGCTAGGAGTCCAACCGACCGCAGGACTCGATCCCAGAACCCTGGGATCATGATCTGAGCCGAAGGCAGACGCTTCGTCGACTGACCCACCCAGGCATCCCCCAAACCCCCTATTTTTAGCGGGGAACATGGCCATTTGAAATAAAGATACCTTCCTGCCACTTAATAACCGGGTGTGGCCATGTGACTAAGTTCCGCCCTTTGGCAGCTTCCAAAAGCTCTGGTTGACAGACAGCTGTTGCTCACTCTTTGGCGTTTCTGTGTCCTTCCTCATTCCTGCTGGCCAGCATGCAGATGTAAAGGCTGGAGCCGGTGCAGCCGCTTTGCACCACGAGGCAACTACGGGAATGATGGCCACCATGTTCCATTACGGAACACCATGCCAAGACTGCCTCTAGATTTCTCTTGCTGAAACCACTTCCTTGGGTCTCTCACCTGCACAAGTAATGCAGGTAGCTAACCCTAACCTATCTGCTAGTATTGGTTTTGGTCCTATAATTCTAGTCTGAACTTGCTAGCTTTTTGGACAATCCCAGATCCCCAAATCCCAGTTCCCTGCATATTCCTGGCTGTCTAGGCTCTTTGATCCATATTATGCCCCCCATACAGGCCTCTGGACCCCCAACCCCTGTGCTCAGACCTCCCTCTCTGTGCCCAGCTACCCTCCTCCAGCCCCTCAGAATGAAGGAGCAGAGCATCTTCCCAGTCTCATACTGTTGGCCTCCTACCAGACAGCAGGGGCTCCATCCAGGGTGGGAGCCCAGGGCAGCAGCCCCTGCGCACACTTCGTGCTTCATCCCTCCACGGAGCACACGTGAGGGG